CAGCTCTCAAACGCGATGAGCGGGGAGGTGTAATGGGATACGAACGCACCTAGCCGTACGAAAATCCACATGGCAAGGCGAATAGAAACCACGTCGACATATTGTCATTCAAAGTCACAGGTGGTGTTCCTGTGTCGGGATACATAGCGCGTCTGCGTCTTGCGCTCGACATCTAGTACTTCAAAACGATGCGAAACTGACGTACTGCAAGTTCCACGGTACTCGGTCGACAAGAGCATGTTGAAAATCCCCTCACCCTTTCCACTCTCTGTCGAGTGTCGCGCGGTCCCTCCTTGTTCTTGGGCTTGATCTGCCCGCCCCCGTTGACGCACCCCGACGGGCACGCCATCACCTCCACGAAGTGGTAGGGGCACTTCCCACGTCTGGCCTTGGCCAGGATGGATTGGATATTTCGGAAGCCGTAGGCGTACGCAAAGCGCAGGACCACTTGCCCATTGACCTTAAAACGCGTCATCGAAAATAAGAACAGCATCAGGAAATTAGAGGTTGCTGGCGTGCGCGCTGTGGAACATGCTTTGAGGAGCGCCACATACTCGTCCGGGTGGTATTTCAGCACGAGGGGACGCGCGGTCTCATCCAGTGCGCCGACGGACAAGCCATTCTTGTACGCACGTCGTGCGAAAGGGATGCTGTATCAAGTACAGCAAGCAATAGTTAGCGATAAAAAGGGGTAAAGACATATCTATTCGACGGACGATAGGTTGTGGTCGAATGACCCCCCCCGAGAGGCGGTTGTACTTCGATGTGCTTTCTTCCGTGTTGCCAGAGTAGTTCAGATGTACATTAACCGTTTATTGTTGTCGTGAGGGAATTGAACAATTGAGGCAGCTACACGGATGGTAATCAAGTCTACGCGACAGAAAAAAGGACAAGAAAACCAATGCAGCCTCAGTTCAAGCGCCGCACAATCATTGCCAGACAGCAATGTTCACGAGGAGGTGGCAGTATCGAAAGCACACAGACAGACTCAGTCTGACGATTAAATTCTGGGTTGCGCTGCACTTCTACCGGCTCCACAATAGCACCGGCAACTTCGGTTCTACGTCCGGATTCCTAGGTAGGTACAAGGCGCGCTCCGGTGTGGGCGGCGCATCAGAGCATAGTAGTAGTCATATGGCGGGATGCAAGATGAAAGCAAAGCATGCACATGTCGGTGTGGATCAACTGCAAGCTGCCATCAGTGACGTTTCCCACGCCCGAACAGCTCACACAGCTGACATGTTTTTACTCGAACAGCCCAGCGAACGTCAACGAACCAACAAGTAAAATGTCTAATCGGAATATGCTTTAAATGTTACCACCAACCGCACCTCTAGACTCGTCTCCCTGAAGTCGGCGTTCCGACCCTCACGGTACACGAGCGGTCTACCCGCCAAATCAACTCCAAACAGCTCGACCGCCGCGTGCCGGAACACATATTCCAAATAGCCGCCAGAGTTCCCGCCGGCCGCCCCTTCCCCGTCAACGCCGCCGAACAGCGACAACCCGTCCACGCTCACTGCCGCCTGCCCCACTGGAAACCCGGGAGCGAGCGGCTCCGCAAGATCCCCGGGGGGACAATGCCGTCGGAAATAATCGCTGGCTGCGTCACCGCTCGGGCTCGCAGGGCTCGAAGAAGCCAAGGTGGCGTCGGCAGCGGAAGCGCTTTCCTCGATAAGCTCGAGTACCTCCGCGGTGGTGAGGACAAGGTCAACCTCGGCGTCGCCATCCAGATCTTGGTGCCGGAAGTCCTTGCGGGAGGCTTCCAACTTCTTGTCGTAGCACTGCGCGATTGAAACGTGAAATACACCCCGCGGTCGAACAGGAGGTGGCGTGCTTTGGTCGAGCGTCTCGTTGGCTACGGTGGAAGCGGCAGGGGTCGCGCCGTTGCTAGCACTGTCCCGAGCCCGCGAGACCTCGTCTGCTACTGCTCCTGCTGTAACGGCGGCAGCGGTGGCAACCGACGGGTACGGTTGGTTCCACGCGCGCGGAAACACCCGTTTCGCCAGCACTCCCATCATCTGCGACGAACACAATTGCACGACAAGGCACAGGGTTAGCAAAGAACAACTTGATGCATGGGGTTCTTAACTGTGCCACGACCCACAGCTGCTAAACATACAATGGGGCAGAACCTAAAAGTCTCCACCGAAGCCTGCGACCCACAAGCAACCCTGAATTACAACAAAACCGCCCGAAGATGAATCGGTTTAGCTCTTCTTTCTCGGTGCTGGCGATATCGTCCACCCACCGCCTATCATCGCCCATCGAAGGACCTCACTCTTGGCACCAAAAGTTGCGAGGCGACACCGTGGGGAGAGAAAAGGAGCCCGAATGGTACGGGCATGCACTTCATGGCGTGGCTGATGTAATCGTTCCTTCAAGCTACGCTTTTAAGGCGAGCCTGCAGTGAAGTGATGCCCCACCCGCTGGACGTTTTATTCATCTTTTCAATAAACGCGACATATACGGAACACGTCGACCCGGCCCCCTCCCCCCAATAGCCGCAGTAACCACAACCCCAACACGGAGGTTCTTCCCTCTGCCCCGGCAACACCTTGCTAAAGGTAGCACACGCGACAAGGAAGCTGGGTCATAGCTAAGTGAATATGAGGTCGTAAGACGCAGCCATTTGCTAGACTCTACAGCCGACGGTGGCATGCAGTCATTCGCGCCAGGTAGGTCATACCTGCTGTGGCGATTTGACTGTGCTCATAAAAGGGAGCGCCTCAGGCGCCGTCTTCTCCGCGTAACACACCCACCCGGGGCAGGCCGACGTTAGTACCAAAAGCTCTCCCGGCCCTCGTGGGCGTCTCGCGCACTCCACCCCTTCCACCGCCATCGAATCACCAGCGGCTCCCTCGCCCTCTCTGCCCCTCTTCCCCGAAACAACACCACCAGAGCAGTTGGAATCTTGTCCCTGCCGCTGTTGCTGCATTCTGTTGTCTTCCTCCTTTCCCAGCTCGACGTTGAACCTCCGCGTCGACGAAAGGGCAACCGTAGGCGGGGGCGCCACCCAGGCAGCCAACGGCGACTGTGCCGGCGCCCCCTCACCCACCGCAGCCTCCGGTTGAGCCCGACTCCCCTCGGAACCTGAGCCCCCGCGATTGATACTTCGCCACCGCTGGACAAACTCCTCTCCAGCCTCGAGGAGGGAGAAGTCGGCGCCTAGAGAAGAGTCAACGAGGTGGTGGACGCCGTGCCGCTCCCTCAGGAACGCGAGCAGGCGGGCGTGAGTCTCGGCGGGGGATAGGCCGAACCGCTCTGCCAGGGAGGCTCGGGCCTGGGGCGTTATCGACGCCACGACGACGGAATACCTGGAAGGAAGGGGTAGGGGGGTTCATGGAATGAAAAGGGAAGGTAGGCTGTCAGGAATGCGAGGGCAGGCGGCGGCCCTGACACTTGCGTTTCGGCGATGCCGTGGCGAGCTTGGGGATCCGGGTCCGGGGGCCGTGAATGCACTACGCGTTGAAGGATTTCATTAACACGACCTCTCCCTAGCTCATCGTTTCCCGGGGCTCATGAAAGGACGCACAGGGAAGTGGTGTCCTGCGCTCGAGCAAGGCAGAACCAATCACACTCCAGTTGCTGTTATGTATTAACTGGTGCGCCAAAAATATACAACACCGACAGGTGTAACCTCCGCCGCCAGAGCACTTTCGGGATCACAAAGCGTATACACAATTTCTCTGTGTTCTCGCCTCCCTGACGCCACGGCTTCCCTCAGCTTGCCGGTGCTCTGCTGCGTGATAAGGACGGTTTCCGCCGAGGTCACGCAGCCGCTGCACGCAAGGCAGTCGTCCAAGGAGACCTTGGCGGTCTGCGTGTTGGAGGCCCGTATCAGGTCCGGTTTGACCACTTCTTCCACCGCCTGCTGGTGTTCAACGTGGGAGCGTTGAGTGTTTCCTATTCTAGAAAATATCCATACAACCAAGGAGAGACATGCCCGTTCGAGACATCACCACACCAGTCGAAGGGGGTATGTTGAGCATACATGTACTACTAAAAATTGTGTAAAGTTTTGAAATGTTCAAGGAGTTTTTGAAGGTCGCCGGTGGTGACGGAGAATGGAGACGTCACAACGCCGGTGCTTGGCGCACTGGAGGATGCGTGAGTGCCAAACCACTCGGCGAAGTACATAGACACAGCGGTGGGTTCACGTCTGTGCAAAGCGTGTCCTCAGTCTGCATACTTACTTGTGTTGCTGTTGTGGTTGGTTGTCTCGTGGCGCTACTGCTGTACTCGCTGGGTTGTTGAACAACCACTGCTGTTGTGTTTACAACCATCGAGAGATGGCGCTGTTTGAAATATGATCTACACTACTGTTATCCTACAACGAACTACTATACATCGATTGCACCAAGCTCATGATGTACGCCATGAACCCCTGTGTCACAACTTGGCGGGGAAGTCACTGTACACGTATACACAACGAGGCTGCCTAGTCGGTAGGTACCATCGGTGGACTGTCTGATGGTGAGAGACTGCAAGCAGTATATTGTGAGCCGTGAGCAGACCCCAGATAACACTGGCTAGGAGAAATGGATAAAGCCAGATCAGCACATTTCACTCTAGGTACACTCCGTCTCTGGCTTTTTTTTATCACAGGGCCTACGGGCCTACTGCTGTACACACACACCATGGCATCCAGCGGCCCTCCGTCGTCTTCCAACTCAAGCACCATCGGAGCTCCGCCCTTGCTGCCCGCCGATTCAGCTGCTGCTGCTGTTGCTGGAGCCGAATCGGCAGCGGTCGTGAAGAGTGGATTGATGCATGCCTGACCTGGGGCGATGAAGTCATCGAGGTCTCCCAGCAGCACCGACGCCATGCCTGCTGCTAGATAATGGTTGCAGCTTGTGAAGGACCCTGCTTGAGGGACTGCTGTACGGGCGGGGGGAAAATGGAGGCCCCGTGAAATAGAGCTTTTGAGGGGGCGTAAGCATGTGTGCCATTCCCGCTCGAGGGTGGGGTAGCACCTCTCACTCGCCATACTCGCTGCACAATCAAAGCGTGAGCACTAGCCGATGTCAGACAGGAGTCTGTACGAATCACTCCCTCTACCTCTGTCGCTTGGCGGTTCAGCGCTGGGTTTTCGGCCAAGGCTGGTCCGGATTGCAGCAAAAGTTCTCGGCGACAGTTGACTTTGTTTCGGTGAACGAGATTTAAAAATCGGCCACCGTTCTGGTGCTTGCCGCTGCCGAGGTTTGCTGGACCTGGCTGGACCGAGCAGCACCGGGAGAGAGAGGACGCTGCACTCCGTTGCCAGGTGAGCGCAAGAAGATTGAGTAGCATGTTAGTCTACTGCGCGTCAACAGTAGGTGGTATGTTGAGAGTTGTTTCCTGTGTTTTCTCTCGGTGGAACAGGGCACTGCTGGAAGTCCACACTGTGTTTTAAGTGGAAACAAGCCGTTGCACGGTCTCTCGGCAACAGACGTTGGTTCTCAGCATTCTCTGGGAGAGGGTGGGTACTCCGGGACGTTTTCATTCACCAAGTTTTTCTTTGGGCACATCTCCCCAGGGCCTGCGCCAGTTACCTTAATTTAGGGCTCTCTGTTAAAGCGGGGTCATTTAAGCGGAGTCGCCATCTTGAGAAATGCCGCAAACACCGTTGCGAAATTGCATGTATCGGGCACCATTACAACACAGCAGCAGGACTGCACATCAACGATGACATCCTATGCACATATGTATGCACCTACTGTAAGTTTGCCATTTTCACGAGTGCGGCGTGAAGGACATTTCTATTATGTCTCATGTGTTACCAGATGCTGCTCCGATACGCTCAAAACCTGATCCTCCCGCCATACTCACCCCAAAGCCTACCTTTTCAAGCACCAAGCACACCATGTGCTGTAGTTGTAGTACGACATTTCTTTCTCGTCGTACGGCATTTCTTTCTCGTCGTCGTCGAGCCTCCCGCTACACTCGACCTTCAAACAGCTTTTGTCGTCGTCGTCGTCGTCGTCTGTCTTCGACCTTCTCCGCGAGATGCTAGAAGAAACGAATTACAGGATGAAAATCCAACCGCACCCGTGCGACCCTCTCTGCGGCAGATGCGGAGGAGCAGGGCCCCGTCAAGAATTCTCTCGCCCGGAGGAAGCAGTGGCAGCAACAACAACAACAACAACAATGGCTTCGGCATTGAAGGCGGGGCTTCCTCTTCCTCCTCCTCCTCCTCCTCCTCCTCCTCCTGCGGCCGCAGCGGCGGTGGAGGCAACAAGTCGGCGGCGGCATCTTCGCAGGAGATGAAGCGGGTCAACACCGCGGCGCTGCGGCAGGGGAGCGTGAGCGTCGTGCGGGCGCCGCTCCTGGGCTGCTTGACCGTGCCGCGGGGAGGTGGGCTCGTGGTCGGGGCGTTCAAGCTGCCGGGAGGCGCGCGGCGCACGGACAAGAGCAAGGGCCTCCTCCGAAGGAAGGTGTGCCGTATGTCTGTCTTGTTGTTGTTGTTGCTGTTGTTGGTGATGGTGGTGGAGGAGGAGGAGGAGGAGGTGTTGTCGTTTGTTGCTTGTGTCACTGCTGTTGTTGCACGTACTGCTGCTGATGGTCTAGCTGCCATTGTGGTCGCTCATTGTTGCGCTGTTGCTGTCGTTGTTGTAGGTTGTGGCAGTGTTGGCATAGTTGTGGATGGTGTGTGTCCGAGTGTTGTTGGCGCACAGCTAGTGTCGCAGTTTGTTGTCGTGGCCGCATCACCGTGGGGATGCTGACGCCGGCACGGTTGCATGTGGTGAGGACCGTACCATAATGCTGGTGTTGAAGCTCTTTCGGGGAAGGCGAAGAACGAACGGATGAGAACGACGGTTGCAGTTGGCCGTGTTGATGGTCACCACCTGTGGTGGGGAAAGAAAAAGATGTCTCCGTATCTGCCACTGGCTGATTGGAAATGGGAGAGGTTCGTTGAGATGCGTCGTCTCCCTATTGGTAAAAACGCCCTCGAAGTCAAGCATCTGTTGGAGCACCGTAATCATCGGGGTTTCGCTCACTGCTGTCGTGTTCTATAGTTTTCGCTGTCAGGTTTTTATCGCAAAGGGGGTGTAGAGACGCCGATATGCGCGAAGTTACCGCCCCACGTGCGGAAGATTTGATATTTTTGTTCTACACAATCGGCCACACCTGGCAGTTCCACGTCCGAAAAGCCCAATGATTATTATGGTACGCCCACGCACCGTGCGCGCGCGCCAACATGGAAAACCAGTCGCTGGGGGTGCGGCGGCCGGCGACCTTCATGACCTCCTCCAAGTTCCGTCCGCCGAGCCCCCCGGACGCGGCCGTGAGCGGGGAGTTCGATCTCCAGGAAGGGGAAGATGAGGGAGACGGAAATAGGGCAGAAGCGGAGGCTACCCCTACCGATGAGGTGGGTCATCGAAAACGATTTCTCCTGCTTTTTAGTAATTGGTGGTACCCTTTGTGCACGGGACTCGTGGCTGTAGCGACGTTTGCGCGCGCTGTCGCTGCTTCCTGTTGTGGGTCTGTCGCAGAGTAGGTTTTCGAGATCGCGGGATCGAAGCCTGTGGCTGTGCATCTTTGCCGCGGTTTCTCTTGTTTGGAAGTCCTGTAGTTTCCTGGTTGAGGGTTCCCTCCGTTCTTCTCAAAAGGTCTCGGCGTACCCGCTGTTTTTCAATGACGTCACTTGCCAGGTTGCAATCCCTGAATTGCCCGCTGGGGAAACAGCTGCCTCACTCCCCCGAATAATTATTCCAAGAAAACCTTGACAACATCTCTTGTTGGTGGTGTTCAAACATCTCCGAGGCTCCAGCATGTTGTTTAGCCCCAAGGCTTAGATTGGTTGCGTTTCGCACCTGACCGGGCACGCCCAACAACCAACAACAAGCACACGCTCCGGTCCGCAGCACAATGTTACCCGTGGACGTGGCCGGGCCCTCTCGAGGACCCTTCGACACCACTCGCGAGGACCCTGTGTCACTTCCTCCTCCTCCTCCTCCTCCTCCTCCTCCGAACAGCCTTGAATCTGGCGAACCACTGCTGCTACCCTCTGATACCACGGGCGGTCTCCATCTGCTGCGCGCGGACCGTATCTCCCGGCACTGACTGTTGCGGCCGTATCTGTACGCTCAACCCACTTTCAGCCCCGTTTTTTTTGCTGCATCGCCTGGCCCCTCAACACATCTTTGAATCGGAGCGTTTCGATGCCGAACTTGACACCCCTGCCGGCCCCTGATAGGCATGAATACTTGGGGGCCGCATCTGTACTATCCTCCTACCCTACTGGGAAATCCGGTGTGATTTTGCATCACCCAGCTGTGTGGCCACCTTCTTTTGTCGGTACACTCCTTCAATGCCAAAACTTGACACTCCTAGGCGGACACCTTCGAGCCCCTGGTGCTGTGGGAGGAGGGGCCCGGGGAGGACGATCATCGCATCAGCGTCGACCCGCGGCTGTGCAAGTTTCTTCGGCCCCACCAGAGGGAAGGAGTGCAGTTCATGTTCGAGTGTGGTGAGAGAATGGCAACGGTTTCGGAGGGAGGCGTTCGTTGCTTTGCTTGTTGATGTTGTCGTTGTCGTTGTTGTTGTTGTTGTTGTTGTTGTTGTTGTTGTTTGGGCAATGTTTTTCACTTCAACCTTGTTGGTCTGTTCATATCACCAGCTCTAAAACAACTGACCCCCACCCCTTGAAAATGTCTGACAATGCATCATAGTGATGGGCATGCGGGAGTTTGAGGGCAGCGGGTGTATCCTGGCCGACGACATGGGCCTCGGGAAAACTCTCCAGAGCATCGCGGTGCTGTGGACCCTGCTCAAGCAGGGCAAGGCCAAGGGCCAACCGGCCGTAAGGAGAGCCGTCGTCGTCTGCCCCACCAGCCTGGTGAAGAACTGGGAGGCGGAGATCGACAAGTGGCTCAAGGTGTGTGTGGGGGGATGCGGAACGGTCCGGAACCGGGAGATGGGCGTGGTGCGGGTTGTTGTTTGTGCTTGGTGTTTCTCCGTAGCTGTTCGTCTGTTGAGAGCCGTGGGGCTCAAGGTGCGCTGATGAGGCAAGGGCGTGTGCGCTCGGTGGTTTCCGTAGCTGAATGGGTGGTTGAGTGGCTCAGTACGAAACATTCCGGGACAGGGAGAATAACGTGGTGCGGTGTGTGTGTGCTCGGTGGTTTCCGCAGCTGGAAGGGCGTTTGAGAGGCGTGGCTCAAGGTGTGGGCACGAAACGTTCCGGGACCAGGAGAATAGCGTGGTGCGGTTGTGTGTGCTTGGTTTTTTCCGTAGCTGAACGGCGGTTGAGTGGTGTGGCGATGAAGTTGTGTGGATACGGAACGATCCGGAACCGGGAGGAGAGAACAGCGTGGTGCGGTTGTTTGTGCTTGGTTGTTTCCGTACCTGAACTGCGGCTGAGAGGCGTGGGGCTCGAGGTGTATGCGTACGAAACGAGAGATGCAGGTGTATGTACGTGGTGTTTTTCCGTAGCTGAGCAGAGGTTGAGGGAAGTCCCGGGAGTGCCAACGGGGCGTGCGGTAGTGTGTACTTGAACGTGTTCGAAGTTCCACCGACCTATCTGAATCAGACGCGCGATTCTCGCTCGCTCGCGTTCTTGTGATCCTTGCCCAACCGACCAGGGGGACTGCCGCGTGATCGCCCTCAGCGAGACGACGAGGGAGCAGGTGGTTCAGAGCATCAACCTCTTCCTGGCGAGCATGGTGTACAGGGTGCTCATCGTATCCTACGAGGTGGGCGAAGCTGTCCCCTTCAACATCTATTTTATCATACGTCTGAAGCATATCAGCAAGTTTTTGTAATTCACATAGGAATACCTTTATTTCGCCGCGGAAAATTCCATCTCGTACCCGTAGCGAAATATTTGCAATGTTTGATCGGTCTACCCTACCGTACCGCGCTTGGAAGAAAAACTTGAACAAAGTTCACGATCGTCGTTCGTTTATTTCTCCCGAAACAGACGATCAGGCTTCATTCAAAGCGGTTCTAACCGAGTCGGATTCATGAATCTAGATATTTGAGCGGATCTCCATCGTGGTACCGAATTGCTGCCCGAACCTGCCGCACTTCGAAGAACAAATGGAACAAAGTTTACGATCTTCGGTCGTTTCTTTTTTCGCGAAACGGACGATCAGGCTTCATTCGGAGCGGTTGTGTGCCAAGTCGGATCCATGGTACTGAGTACTTTGGCGGACTCCCCTGTGGTACTTGTACTACCCTACCGCACTTCGAAGAAAGGCGGCATGAAAATCCGGATTGCTACCCTGCCCTGCCGTACTTCGAAAACAAGATGGAACGAAACTCCCGATCATCTCCCCCTTCTTTTTTCGTGAAACAGACGTTCAGGCTTCACTCGAAGCGTTTCTACGCAAAGGCGGACACCTGCTGCGACCTACTCATCTGCGATGAGGCTCACCGGCTAAAGAACGCTGACACCGCTACCAATCAGGTGATGTGTTTGTATGATGGCGATATTGGTTGCCCGATGCCATCGAAGCTGCGGGTTCTTTGGTAGTCGGAGGCGCACGTAGAATCTGTTGTTCCATGCAATCTAAGCTACAAGTTCGATGTTGTTTTACCCCAAATAATGCTTTTCTATTAATGCTCTAATGGTCCTACAGCAGTGGTTGCGATGGTAATGCGTGGTATGCACCGTTGGTCGAGCGCATTCCCGTGACTGGGAATGGCGAGAGCACACGCCGCACAGGCAGAGACGTGGTCGAGATTCTCTCCGGCCCGCTCTTTCGTCTCTTTTATTGTTTTTTCATTTCTTGAATTTACCGTTTCGCTTGCCCGGGGTTGCAACCAAACTTTGCAGGCGTTATCGGCCCTCAAGTGCCGGAAGAGGGTGCTGCTATCGGGAACCCCGATGCAGAACGACTTAGAGGAGTTCTACGCCATGACGGACTTCACCAACCCCGGGGTAAGGGAGGAAGACAGGGGACGAAAGGGAATGCCGGCGGTGTCAGGCGGCGGATGGTTCCTTTGGCGCTGTTTCGTGTTGTTGCGGTTGCTGTGAAAGACGGCGTTGTTCTGTGTGCGAAAATCACGAGATTGTCAGAGAAGGAGGCTCTGAGGCTCTACGCTTTTCCCTCGCTTGTTCCCCACTCCCCAACCCTGTCGTCCTTGGGCAATGATTTCCCTGGAATGATTTCTTGATTAAATGAGGTGGCTCCCACATAGTAATAATGAGCATGGATGCAACTACAGATAAATGGTACTCCAATCATTGAGTGCGATGTTGCTGTTGATGCTGCTCCTGTGTTGTGCTCACGCCCCCCCCCTCCCCCCCCCTGTTTTTTTCGTCTTTTTTTTGTTTTTTCTTCGAAGGTACTCGGCAGCGGCGCGTCGTTCCGCAAGAATTTCCTGTCGCCCATCCTGGCCGGGCGAGAGCCGTCCGCCACCGACAAGCAGGTGAATCAACAGAACGGACACGACCCAGATACAGACAATACCCGCACAAAAAATGACGCCCGTGGGCAAGACTGGGGTTCGTAGTAGTTCCTAGGAATTGCCACTTTATTGATTTTGGTGTAGGAATTGCCACTATATAGGTTTTAGTGTAGGAATTGACACTATTTTGGTTTTGGTGTAGGAATTGCAATTATGTTAGTTTTGGTGTAGGAATTGACACTATATAGGTTTAAGTGTAGGAATTGACACTAGATAGGTTGTAGTGTAGCTACTGCCACTTTATAGGTTTTGGTGTAGGAATTGCTACTATATAGGTTTTGGTGTAGGAATCGCCACCACATAGGTTGTAGTGTAGGGATTGCCACTATATAGGTCTTAGTGTAGGAATTGCCATTATGTAGGTTTTAGTGTAGGGATCGCCACTGTAAAGGTTTTAGTCTAAGGATTGCCACTACGTAGGTTTTAGTGTAGGAATTACCACCCATATAGGTTTTAGTGTTGGAATTGCCATTATATGGGTTTTAGAGTAGGGATTGCCGCTGAATAGGTTTTTCTGTATGGATTCTTCACCGGGGCCCATAAATGGCGGTCAAGTTTTCCTGTTTTGATTTAATGTTTTCATGTTGAGTGAGAGGTCATTAACTGCCCACTTCTTTGATGTAATGTTGAGTATGAAGTCATAAGCGTTATCTGAAGAAGAATGGCACATCCCTCTGCACTACTCTGGTGCTGCTGCTACTGGAGGAACGGTGGTCATTAGACGGGTCGTTCCATGCGCGGAGTCTGGATTTTTCACTCGCAGTGTTGTTCAGTGGTTCAGGTGTGGTTCAGGTCAACATATCTGTGTGTTCGAGTGCTGCAACTAGACCTGGTACATATCGTACTGGGCCACGACTTTGTGTTGCCAGCCTTCGACGTTGGCGGAATTCAGACCTCGTAAGTACGCCAAGCAGCGTGTCGGGAGGTATCTCTGTGCGTCGCTTTCATTTCGATCCTTCGTATGAGGGTACTCCTTATTTCCCTTGGCGAGATTCGTCACACGCTACTGCTTATCGCAGTGTATTTTCATGTCCTGGGCTAACAGTGACCCTTTAAATATGTTACCACCGGGCGTCGTGTTTTGTTCGTGTGCGGTGTGAAACATTCGATTGGTGTGTCATATCGTGGTGTGATGTGTTGTGCGGCGGCGTTATCTTGTGGTGTGATATGTTAGACTTATGTCTCATCTACTGAAATCTTACGTCGGTGTGTGAGCTTGTGGTGTCATGCGTTGGATGGGTGCGTTACGTACTGTGTCGCACTCCGCTCCCGCGAAATTCTGATCCCAACACCAGGTGGAGCGGGCGCAGAAGTGCCAGAACGCGATGTCAACGGTAGTCAACGAGTTCATCCTCCGGCGCACCAACAACATCAACGCCAAACACCTTCCGCCCAAGCTTGTCCAGGTCTGGGCAACACCACGACAAACGTACCTGTGCGCTTTATGGGAATCCCAGTTTGGAACCGGGTTGTTTCGGTCGCTCGTCTCTGGACGTGCGGTTTGAAAGATTGGGAGGACTCAGTACATACCGTTGTGCTTTGCGGTAGTCGCAGTTTGGAACCGGGTTATTCCGGTCGTTCGTCTCAGAGCGTGTGAACTGAATGATTCGCGGGACTCACTTTATGTTGTTGTGCTTTGCGGGAAATCCCAGTTTTGAACCGGGTTGTTTGTCTGAGAGCGTGAAGGGCTGGGTGATCGTTTTCACGTGGGTGCCTTCTGGCCCTTTCCACAGATCGACAACAACGTTGACAACCAGAACGGCTCTTGTGTGTCGGCGAGCGATATTACAGGCTACTAACACATAGAAGTAGATTATGTTTCACCGTCCGACCGAAGAAGCACGCAACCAAAGCCACAACCAACAGTGGCAAGGCCAACAATTTTTTCTTTTCGCAGGTGGTGTGCTGCAGGCTGACCCCGGTCCAGACGAAGATCTACAAGCACCTCCTGTCCTCAAAGGAGATCAGGCACATCCTCAACGGCAAGCAGACCAACATCCTGTCCAGCATCGGCGCGATGCAGAAGGTTTGTGGAGTAATGCGGTGGGGGTCCCTGCGTAGTACCGGTTGAAAAGTGCCAGTGCTCGGCATAGTGTCGGTGTGTTCGGCGGGTACACACTGAATTTTTAAGTCATTGTCAATGCTTTGAATATTACCGGTCCGGCAAAGTGCCGTTGAATTTCTGGGCACATACTTGTTGTATCGGCACGAAACAGGACCGCAAGCACTTTCCTCTCGCTTGATGCTGCGAAAGCGCACGCCCGCGCTCTGCCGGGTTGTGGTTGGTAAATTTCGGTGTTGAGCGCTCTTAGTACATCGCCCGTGCGCGGAAGAAGTCCGTCGGTTGTTTTTCGATCTTGCTGCTGCTGTTGCTGTTGATGTTGTTGTCGTCGATGTCATCGGTGTTGGTTGTATTTTTTCTGTTTTTGTTGTTGCTGCGTATGTCGTTGTTGTTGTTGTTGTTGTTGTTGTCGTCGTCGTCGTTCGTTGCCATCCCTCTCCGGCGGGGGCCTGTGTCCGGCGCGCCAACCGAACAACCGTGTTCCGTTATTTTTTTTGATTGGGCAGTTGTGCAACCACCCGAAGCTTCTCGTGGAAGGCGCCGCAGGGAGGGATTCGGGGGGCCACGCAGAGATCGCGAGCATGCTGCCTGCGGAGACGTCCTCTTCTGCTGCCTTGGCGGGGGGGGTTGGGGGGCGGGGGATGTCGGGCGGAGGGGGTTTCGGAAGGAGGAGCTCGGGGGGGATGCAGAAGGGCGTGTTCCCCGAATGGTCTGGGTGAGTTGTTTTCTGTGAGGTTGTTGTTGTTGTTGTTGTTGTTGATTCGTGGTCGTATTTCATGAGAGTCGAATCACAAAGCACCGCACTTAGCAGGAGCAGGGGATAAGCAGATGTAACAAGTTGAACAATATCAACTCGTTTGTCGCTGTATTTTCTTCTTTTGGCATTCTCGCTTTGGAGCCTTGTCCCCCCCCCCCCCCCCCCCCCCCCCCCCCCCCCCCCCCCCCCCCTTTTGTCTGTTTTGGGTTGGGTTGGATTGAGTCAACGCATTGCGAGAGTTCTGTGAAGGTTGCTGCAATAATAAGTCGTCGGACAACCCGATTTGATCTGCCGGGCCTACACCTCCGAGACAGGTGGAGATCTTTCAGATTAGCTTGCTGCGCCCTGGCTGTGCCTTACTCCCTTTTTGTATCCTTCCTACCATCCCTGGACCACCCCGGTTGACTGGGGCATGGGAAGTGGGTTGGACTTGCCGGAAGTGATGTCCATTGGAAAGATATGCTAGGGAAAACATTGACAATATTGGAAAGAACAGTTGACCATCGGTGATCGGTCCGGTGGGAACAGTGCTCCGTCGTCTCGAGTACACCTGGTCAACGGTCTAACCGCTAAGGCATGCAGAACATAAGAGTATGCCCCCCCCCCCCCCCCCCCCCCCCCCCCCCCCCCCCCCCCCCCCCCCCCCCCCCCCCCCCCCCCCC